TTAAACCACAGAACTCTGAAAAACAAAAACAGGATGTCTGCCTCTAAAGCTGGTGCTGTGTATATTTTTCCTGAGACTGTGCTATCTGGGACCAGGTTGGTGTAATCTTTCAATACAGTCTATTGGCCAAATTCTCTCTTTCCTGCTGGAATCTTAAACCAGTGTGTGTGACAGAAAATATTTTCACGGCCAAGGGTTGTTGTCATCACAATCTGCATAACAATAGGACCAGATGGAGATTAAAAAAATTAAGGCTTAAAGTTATGGTCAGTGGTCTCCTTTACTCTTGCAAAGCTCCAGTGAAGCCAGAAAGAATCCAGAAAAAGACAAACACTGTCTGCACAATTTAGCATAGGAACAATGCTATTGTTTCTTCTTCTTCCTCAAGAGTGGGTTTTGATACTGCAAGAGTATGTTGGTGGTGGTCTACAGGACTTGTAGTTGAAGAGAACAGGCCCAGCTGCCTGACCATTTCAGGGCTGACCAAGTCAAAGCATGGTATTAAGGGCATTGTCCAAATGCCTTTTAAACTCTGACAGGTTTGTGGCATCAACCACCTCTCTAGGAAGCCTGTTCAGTGTTTGATCACCTTCTTGGTAAAGAAATGCTTCCTAATGTCACATTTAAACCTCTCCTGGCACAGCTTTGAACTGTTCCCGTGAGTCCTGTCGCTGGATCCCAAGGAGAAGAGACCAGCACCTCCCTCTCCACTTCCCCTCCTCAGGTTGCCCCTCAGCCTCCTTTTCTCCAAACTAGACCAGCACAAAGTCCTTAGCTGCTCCTCACAGGACATGCCCTCCAGCCCTTTCACCAGCTTTGTTGCTTTCCTCTGGACATCTTCAAGGACTTTCACATCCTTGCTTGTCAATCAAGCCACATACCCATCTCCAAAGTCTGTATCACTTAACACAGGTAAAGCACAATTACAGTTTGGTTTGAATGAGCAGTTGGAGTGGCTGGCCTTAAATGTTCAGACAAAGAAGAAAGATCGAAAATCCACTAAGGTTTGTCCCTGCTCTCATTCTGGTGCATATTTCTCTTCTTTTTTTTCTTTTGTCACTTAACTAAATTTCTATACACTTTGAGAGGTTTTATTTGCACTTTTGTTGCTTACAGACACTTTTCAAGAATTATTAAGCTTACAGTTTACTCATTTTACAGATTCCAAATAGCATCAGCTTTTTTCCTCAAGGATCTTGTGATACACATGATAGGCTTCATCAGACAGATAAAAGAGTCTACCAACAATGGCTGGGAGAAAAAGCAGTTTCTCCATGCACTTATGGGGTCATCTTCTGACTGCTTACCAGAGAATTCAAAAAGTTGGGTGGGTAAATACCTCAGGCAATAAGGCAGTTTAAGCATTCACTGTTCAAAACAACTACTCATCAAGTGATAAATAAATATTAACATATTTATTTAATCTGTCAGATTTGATTAGTCTCTAACAACATCATTCTTATTCAACTCTGGACATCTCAGAAGCAGTCAGTATGAAATAACATAGCTCCACTCAGTTCAGCAGCCACGTGAGACTTTTACTACTGAGAGCCTGGGCCAAAGATAGTCAGCAAGAACTTCAAACAACCACAGAATTACACATTGAATGTGATGCTTTTGTTCTCTAGTTCAGGAACTTGTATTTTTCAATATTTTTTACCCATATCACTGGAAACAAACATCATTCCAGATATTTAAAGAATCCTTAGCAGCTATATTTCTACCGAAAGGTATCTTAAGCTCATTTTGAAAACTTATTATTTGGTTTTGGTTTTATCGACGCCTTCCACCACCTTCTATCAGAACAGCATACATTCTCTCAGCTTGTATGAATCACTAACATCAGAAATGCAATGCTGGATGTATTAACCACTGAAACCTGGGCTGCAACCCACTGAACAGGTTTGCTTTCACTCAAGACGCATTATTAAATGGTAGTATCACCAGTTTCCAAACAGCCTGATAGCTTTTGCCAAGCAATCAATACAGTCACTATGAGACTAATGCACATGTGCAGATTGATGCAACAGGTAGCAAGGGTAAAGGGGAGGAGGTCTATTCTCCTGGGACAATATCTGCCTTACTACACAATGAAAGGAGTGTTGAAGAGAGTATGACCAAAAGTAAAGGTTACTGCATCAGAGAACATCTTTCTTATCATCTATCTGGCAAAGAGGATTTCAGAAGAATCTACTGTTCACATTACAGAAAAAAAACACTCAAAACATTACTGCTGTAGACCTGACCGGTCATGTTTAATTATCAACATAGCAGTTTACAAAGTTTAAAAAATTACCAGTTATTGGCTTTGGAATAAAGGTATACTGTGAGATTGATTTTGTAACACTCACAATGCTGCTTGAAGGCAAGGAAAACTTTGCCTTTTGGCAGCTTGACAAAGCCATACTTGACTTCACAAACAAGTGCTCCATGTGAAACTGTCATCATCATAGCATACTATCATTAACTGTTATGTGAAAGCCATGTTTTCACTCACTTTGCAAACTGAGAAGGTTCCTTGCATATATACATACACCTTTGGCTGAATACTACTCTGAAAATTTTTTGTCTTATTTATTGACCTAGTGACTCTAGGATGAAGATTCATTGCACCAATTATCAAACGCATGTTATTCCCAAATGAGTTAAAACCACTTTCCATTATGTAGTTCACTCCAAAGGAAGGGTGATGAGAAGGGCAACCTAACAGGCACATAACTCCAGAGCATGAAGCAACATCTATGTGAATAAACAGAATAACTGCTTATTCTAACCAGGTAAACAAATGAAATAGAAGTTTAACTTCTAATGGTGGGAGGGGAAGGGGAAATATATATATATTTTCCTATCACAAAT